TCTATCTATCAATCATCTATCCATAGAGATAGAGATCTATGTAAGTCTCTATATTTAGATAGAAATAATATGCATGTATGTATACATATGTTATTTTTTAGACTATTTGTCAGTTGACTGGAAATTTTGACTTTTGCCCAGTTTAATCTTTTGACTAGTATGCTTTAAAGTCAATTTATTGGGTTTTGCCTATTTACTTATTATTTTTCACACATGTACATATGTTTTTTCTCTTTACCTTATTTATAATAAATACTATATATCATCTCATATTAGTACATTTGCAGCTATTACGTTCCTTTTCACAACTCTACAGATGTTCCATAATTTTTTACTAGTCTTCTAAAAATGAACACTTTAAGGGTAATAATCTTACTTTTATGAACAATGTAGCAATGGTCATATATGAAGATATCTGAATGATTCATTTCTAGAAGTGGAATTGTTAGGTCAATGATATGAGCATTTAAAGTTTAAACAAGATATTGATATATTGCTCTACAGCAAAATTAAGTCAGTTAATATCCACCAGCAAGGCAAGTGTTTTCCTGCTTCCCAAACCCTTTTTAACACCAAGTTATCCTTTTTTTTTTTTTAGCTTTATCAATTGAAAAGAAATGGCAGTTCCTTGTAGCTTTAACCGGCCTTTTTTTCTGAGAATGAAGAACATCTTTTCTAATGTTTTAGGCCCAGATGTATTTTGTGTGTGTGTGTGAATTATGTGTTCATATCTTTTGCTAATTAGGTTGCTGGTTTTATTTATTGATTTGTAGGGCCTCATATGTTATTTTAAAGTCCAAGTCATTAATTAAAAGATGACTTTTTCTAGTATATCAAAAGATACATACAAAATTCATCTTTCAAAATAGATGTTCAGTTCCTTTAACTTTTTTGGATCTGCTTTAAAATGGGAAATTGTACTTTTCCTAAAATATACATGGCATTTTGTGTAACTTAAGTCTCATTGGTTGGTTGGTTGGTTTAGCATTGAGAGCTCCTGGGGCACTTATGGCAATGGTAGGAACTTGAACTGGAGCCTTCCTTGGTCAGGGGTAAGTGAAATGAAACAATTAATTTCATTTAGCAGATGTATTGGGAAAAATATAGGAATCAATTTTTCAAAAAAATTTGTTTTTATGGACTAATTACTGACTGTGTGTGTGTGTGTGTGTGTGTGTGTGTGTGTGTGTGTGAGGAGAGAGAGAGAGAGAGAAAGACTTAACTTCCAATTTGATGTCCTAGTGTTTGCTATAAAAAGTGTATAACAATTTGAGAAATGCTCTTTAATTGTATGAGGCAGAACCCAAAAAAACCTGGAATTATCTTTTGGAGGATGGGCCCCATGTAGTAAAGGCTTTCCCTGCTAGTTAATTGTTCTAAGAACCCATCAGCATCAGTATACCAGCTATCATTGTTGTGAGAGGCTGTGTTAGGTTTCAGTGAATTTTTTTTTGGGAGATGGAGATTCTTTCAACATATTTGCCCATTTCATGATAGGAAATTTATGAGTGCCCTTGCCCACACCACACTCAGCAGTTTTTGGCAAAAAAAAAAAAACAAAAAAAAAACTGGCATGACCTCTGTGTCCATCCTCCCTATTCACCTGATCTCACCCCGGGTGACTTTTTTTGTTTCCCTGGATGAAAAAAGTCCTCAAAGGGAAATATTTTGCCGATGTGAAAGAAGTGAAACAAAAAATGTCAGAAGGACTAAAAGGCATCAAAATTGACAAGTTCAAAAACTGTTTTGAGCAGTGGAAAACACTTCTCAATAGATGCATTGCATCAGAGTACTTAGAAGGTGACTGAAGTTTAAACATTTAAGAATAAATATACAGTTTTTAATAAATAAATTCTAGGTTTTTGGGGGTCCCCCTTCATACATAACCTAATTGTGATTTTTTTTAAAGCTCTCTCTGTGTTATTCAAGCTGGCCTGGAACTCCTGGGATTAGGCCATTCTCCTACCTCACTTTCCCAAGTAGCCGGGACTATAGGCATGTATCACTTCACATTGCTTAAGAAATTGTAATTTTAAGAAATTGTTAAATGGCAGTGAAATAAAAACCTGAATTAAGCATTAAAGCAACTTTAACATATTAAACTTGGTGTCATTCAATTTCTCTATACACCAGAACTGCAGACAATATGCTGCTTTAACACTGTTATATTATCTGTTAAGTAGTTGTGGTTTTACATTATTATCCTGCTACACTACTACAGTTTGAGAAATAAATTTCCTTACTTGGATCTATTATGGAGTAGTGAAAAATAATGGGTGTTGAAGTTAGATGCACTTGAGTTCAAGTTCTGATTCTACCTTCTAGCTTGTGTGACCTTGGGCAAGTCATTTAACTTCCTTAGACTCCTTCATCTGCAAGTGATATTTACATTATGAGTTTGCTTATGAATTAAATAAAATAGTATACATAAGGCACTAGTTAAGTGCCTGGTATTCAACAAATATTTAATAAATAGTTGCTGATATTATTTAGTGTATTTTTGAAATAAATTTTATTTTACTCTAGTGTAAAGCAATTTCATGGTGAAAATATCAATGTAAACCGAAGGCAACTAGACTTGATTAATTTAGTGGCTACCTCTGTAGATTATTTTTAAAGCAATTCAATTTTTCCCTAAATAATCCTTTTACTGTGCCTAAAATTATACCATTAGATTTATTGCAGTCAATCTCTTCAAACTTGAACATTTTTATTTTCATCATTGATTCATTTTTACGGTGTTAATATAGAAGTGAAATATTTCCCAGAAAGAGATGAGGAGGATAGCCTGATTTAATCTGACTCAGAGGCTGACCTTTGTATGTAAACCTGTGAGTGGAAAATTAGAGGACTAAGGGGAAAGGGATAAAGCTGAAATATAAAAACTTCACCTTTTCAGTTTGGCCCATCTTAAAAATATCTAGTCTTCATCAGGCAAAAAGAAATGAGGAACAAAGGAAATTTTGTAACTTTTCTTTCCTTCTTTTTAAAATCACTAGACTACACAAACTGAGAACAACCAAAATGTCTCTTAATGGGTGATTGTGGAACATCCATACAATGGAATACTACTCAGCAATATAGGACACGCTATTTACATATGCAGCAACTTGATATGGGGAGAGGAGTGGGTGTGTCTATAAAGGGGTAAGATGAGGGAGCTGTTTGTGGTGATAAAAGGGTTGTGTATTGTTTACAGTGATGTACATGAATTTACGCGTGATAAAACGACATAAAGGTACATACAGACATTGTACCCATGTTAAATTACTGGTTTTTGTATTATACTATAATTACATAAGAAAGAACTATTGGAGAAGACTGGCTGAAGGGTACACGAGACTACTCTCTACTATCTTTGCTACTTCTTGTGAATCTATAATTATTTCAAATAAAAAGTTAAAAACACATACAAAATTATTAGAGGGCCTTCGTTACTAGAGCAATTATTATTATTTTTTTTTGAGTTGGAGTCTCACTCCATCGCCCAGGCTGGAGTGAAGTGACAGGCTCACGGCCACCGTAACTCGACTTGCTGAGCTCAGGCGATCCTTCCGCGTCAGCCTTCCAAGTAGCTGGAACTACAGGGACGCGCTACCACGCCCAGTTAATTTTTTGATTTATTGTAGAGATGAGGTCCAGCCAAGTTGCCCAGGCTGTTCTCCAACCTGTGGGTTCAGGCAGTCATCTTACCTGGGCCTCCCAAAGTGCTGGGATTACAGGCTTGCGCCACCGCACCGGGCCACTAGAGCAATTCTTACTGAATTCTCTTAAGGCAGTTTCTTTGACATCTTATTTTTGTGGTATGCTCTTGAAAAATGGAAGTATACGGGGAGACACTCCTTATTAACAAGGGTGCCTGAACGATGCACATTTCTATACCACCGTTAACTGTACCCCACAATTTTATAATAAAAAATATGTTTAAAAAAAAGAAAAATGAAAGTAGGTGCGGGACTGCAGAAGGCAGTAAGCCTTGACATGCAAATTTAGGGAGCCACAGGAAATGACAGAAAGTGGCGATTTTCAAAAGATTAAAGGCCTTTAGAATGGAGAGATTTCTAAAGTAAATAATCCAGTTTTATGATGATGTCTTATACTGATTTGTAGTTATGGCATGGCTCTAGGTCACAGGAATGGGAAGGAAGTAAGGACAGAAACCCAGATTTCCACAGTCCCTTCACATAATTAGGGAAAGGCCATAGTGAATTTTACCTCCTTCACCCCTCTGAACTCTTCCCCTTAGCCCCAGGGCAACTTACTTTCAGTTTAGATTTTTATTTGATAAACCTGAATCATCTCTATGTAATTTCTAGTCCAGAGAATTTTTGCTGGGCTAGCTTCCCACTTGGGCAAAATCCATAGCATGCCTATACCAAATTTGAATCTTTGTGGGCATCCTGAAACCTTTCTAGGGAATGATGACTAAGAATGACTAGAAATCTTCTGGACTTTGAAAAAAGACTATTGAAATTAATTTCGTTAGAGGTGCAGAAATAAACTCTGAAGAGTTATTTAAATAAGTACAGTAAAACTGCCCAGGTGGCAGTGGGAAGTAACTAAGACAGGTGTATGCTTTTCTCCTTTTGGTTTTCATCCAGTCCTTTCATAAACCACTTTCCCCTGTGTCTCCATTTCCTTTTATGCAGTAAAAATTAATTGTGGCACTTTGTATATTTTCTAACATTATCTTAAATTTGGTTTCATATTGGTTCCTTTTGAGGTAAGAGCGGAACTCCCATGTGGCAATGTTAAGAAGTGTGCTCCGGAAGGAAGTCAGAACTAGAGATGTAGACATTCAGAACTTGAGAAGCACCCTCCTTGGGTTCAAACCCTAACTCTCTAGGTTGGCAAGTTATTTAATATGTGCTTTAATCTTCCAATTTGTGAAATAGAGATAAATGGGGATAATAATACCCCTCACAAGGTTTTGGGTAGATTAAATTTGTCAATAATCCCTGCTAAACATTGTTTGCTATTGCTGGTATATTACTGTTTACATTTCTGGTTGTTTTAAGTGCACAGTCCACATCTGCTTCAGGCAATCGGAAGCTTCCACAGAGCTAAGCCTGCGTTCCACTTTTCCTAATAGTTTGTACATAACAGGCACGTAAATAAATATCTGCAATATGCCTTTAATTCCAGCAAGTCGTTTGCCTTGGTTTGCCCACTAAATAGTATCAAACCACTTTTCATTAATATGATCGCCATAAAAGACTTAGTTGAGAGATCAGTGTGTCAGCCTTTCACACAATCAGGCTCCCCCTGTTGATCGGGTCACAGAAGGATTTCTCTGTATCTCGTGTGGATTCATTGCACACCATACACCTATGTGAGTCTCCTTTTTGTCAGCTTCCTTTGTCTACGTGGGCTTATCTGTCTCCTGGCATCAAGAAGGTCACTAAACTTTCCCCTTAGGAGAGTAGGGTAGTAAAGCGATTTTCAAGTTCGCCCCTGACCTTGACCTTAAAGTTCAAGCTCCGCTCCCAGGCCGCGGAGGGGAGGAGACGGGCGGGGCGGCGCGTTGGGCGGGGCGCCGTTAGGTTCTGGGCGGGGCTCGCGTTGGGCGGGGCTCGGTGTCGTATTCGAGGCGCCGGCGTCGCTGTCATGTGACGTTACCGGTCGGCGCAGACGCAGTGCCGCCCGGCCGCCGTCGGACCCCTGGCCTTCTCCTCCGCCCCCTTGGGTGTCAGTGGCTGCGGCCCGGGTTTGGACCTGGCGCGGCGGCCCGGGCGGCGGGCTAGAAGGTGTGGGCACTGGCAGAGCTACGCAGGCTGCATCCGGCTCGGTGTCACCCCCGCGGCCGCCGAGGCCCTCAGCGTTCCCCCGAGAGAGGCCCTAGCTGTTCCGGGCTTCCTCGGCTCTCGCCCAGGTGAGGGGATGGGTCGGGCGGAGCAGGATTGAGGTCGGCAGCACCTTTTCCCAAGGTCTCTGGACTTCAGCCGGTTCGGAGTCCGAGAGGTTTGGCTTCGTCGCGGCTGCCTGCTCCGGCGGCGACTCGTCTCCTTTCCTTTGCCATCCGTACCTGCAGCGCGGAGACCTGTAGACCGGGTGATGAAAATCAGTAGGAAACCCTGGAAGGGCCCTGACAGTTCAGGTGGTTGGGAGCTTGGATGCAAGAGCGGTCCCTGCGGATGGTGATCTGGCCGGCGGAGCTCCGTGTACCTGCGAGCTCCTACTTCAGCCTTGCTAGCAATGGGTTGCGATAGACGCGATACTGACCATCATAGGGGCCCATTGACCAAGGGCGGTGAAGCCTTAGAATACCTCTCCCCCACCTCCTAGCGTGCTGTGGTTTATATTCTGAATTGGTGTTTGCAAACCCTATGCTATGGAAGAGTACATTTCAGCGGAATTCCTGTTGGTTAAAGGAAGGTGAAGATAAGTTGATTTTCCTTCCGGAGAGTATTAGTTGTTTGTTTTATCTCCCAGTTGGCCTTAGTGTTGATGTTTGTTAGAGACATTTATTAAAAGGAACACGTTGTAAATTTCCTCTGTAAGGAAATAATGGGTTTCGTAACTGTCTAAGGCGTGTGCGTTTCAGCCGGTTTCATGTTTCTACCCTCTCCATTGCATAGCAATGAAGTTGATTTATTCTAAGCTAAGTAGGCAAATAAAGTATAAAAATAGGTGAATTGACCAGAATAGTTATCTCTTGTAACTGTTGAGTAGTGCATAATGTGCCTATATTATCACATTTAATCATCATAACAACTCTATCATATAAAGTCTATTTCACCATTTTACAGGTGAGAGAACAAAAGCTCATAGCCCTGCAAAGTAACTTGTTTAAAGTCAGAGCTGTGATTCAAACCAGGTTATCTGATTCCAGTTAGCAGTTCTGTAGTAATGTATCATGCCATCTCCCAAGCATTTTAAGAATTTGCAAGGTGGTTTTCATTTGATAGTAAGTGTGCGAGGTGCGGGGAAATCGAAAGGAAACTAAGGCACTGTTTTTTGTTTTTTGTTTTTTTTTTTTTGAGTTGGAGTCTCACTCTGTCGCCCAGACTG